CTTGATGTATGGTATATATAATACTGCAATCTTCGCATTTTTAGCATTAGCTAAGCAAAATTGTTCGACCCTTTTTTTTTGGCAGGTTAAGCAAAGTGCAGTTGAACTTGCAAAAGCAATGGAAGATGAAGATGGGGTGACAGGAGCTGTGAAGGCATTCCTTAAACACCTTCCTCGTAATAAGAACATCGAGCACAATCCTAAACCAGTGCAGTCGAGCCTTTTCTCTTTACGTTCGTGCTTCGGTTGTTCCTAGATATTTTTTATGCTTTAGATTGTTCCCTGGGATATGTGTTTATCATTAACTAAAATTATGATTATTGTGATCAATTTTTGGTGATATGTGTTTTGTAGCACATCATTTGTTCATATTTCTTTGCCGTCACATGGTTTGCTTACCAAATAGTATTAGTTGTAACACTGCCTTTAGCTACATCATAATATATTTTCGGAATTTGTATGGCTATCAAAAGCTTTTGTTCACTTTCTTACATTTTTTTCTTTCTTTTCTTTTGTATTGGGAACTATTAAGGGTTACTAGATCCCATAATTAATTGTAATTTGAAAATTATATATTTGTTCATATGTAGCTATGATCTCGTTTCTATTTTCTTAAGGTCACAGTTAAGTGGACTAGCCCTTTGAGTTGATGAATTTGTAGAAAGTCGTAGAATTCCAAATCCAAATTCTTGAGATTAGTGAAATTCTGCAAGAATTTCATGGTGCTCTTTTCAAGGAACGGCTAATAAATGTTATCTCTTAGAGTGAGAAAAAGAATAGCAAATGATAATAACAATAATAATAATAATAATAATAATAATAATAATAATAATAATATATATGGAGATGATATTATGGAAGTAGTTGTGGAGGGGCTGACAAAAACACAGCCCTTAACTATGTCTCTGATCAGAAGGTGAGGAGAGTCTTTACAATCTAGGAACATGCCAAATTTGGGGAATTGGACCACTGTTTTTTTCCCTTCTTTTTTCCCGCACATACTTGATTCTTGTATGAAGCAGACAACTTGTCCAGAGCTTTGGCGGTGGATAGTACTTCATGGCTCAGATTGAATTTATGGCAGTTGCTGATTATCCATACATCTCCATAACTATTTCTCTCTAAATTAGGAGCCATTTGCTTCAAGTTGCCCGTCACGAATAAAAAAGAAAAGGAGAAAAAAAACAGAGAGAGAACTATTGTAAATTGAAACCCTTTAATCTTCAAGCATGCATGAATCACAAAGCAAATCCAAGAAATATAAGAAGCAGTAAAGAAAACAAGATGGAGAGCCGCAGAAAAGATTCATTTCATTAATCGGTGCTTCTCTAATATATAAAAATCAGTGAGAGCGTGGTGGTGTTTTTTGTGCTTTACGTCGCGATATATTTCTTATTGGAAACAGTAAGAAGGAGTTATCTAACGTAAAGGTGTGGTTGTCTAAACAGTTTGATATGAAACACTTTGGTGAAGCAGGACACATTCTTGGTATTAGGGTCGTTCGAGACCGTAAGAAGAGAATGTTGTGCTTATCCCAGTCTACATACATAGATACTGTTTTGGCTAGATTCAGCATGCAGGATTCCAAGTAAGGGATGTTACCTTTCAGACATGGAATAGGTCTATCCAAGGATATGTCTCCTAAGACGTCTCAAGAGATAGAAGACAGTTCCTTATGCATCGGCAGTAGGAAGTCTTATGTATGTTATGCTGTGTACGAGACCGGATATTAGCTACCCCGTTGACATGGTGGCTAGATATCAAAGTAATCCAGGACGGGAACATTGGTCTGCTGTGAAACATAGAGGACTAAGGAGTACATGTTAGTTTACCGGGAAGACAACTTGTTACCGCTGAGTTACAGCGATTTCGATATTCAGTCAAACAGGGATGAGAGTAAGTCAACCTCAGGTTATGTGTTTACCTTGGGAGGTGGAGCCATTTCATGGAGGAGTGCTAAGCAGAAAAGCGTAGCAGACTCCACCATGGAAGTCGAGTACATAGCAGACTCAGAGGCAGAGGCAGTCTGGCTCAGGAACTTCTTAGTGGACTTAGAGGTGATTCTGAGTTTGCCACATAGTATCACCATGTACTGTGATAACAGTGGAGCAGTAGCAAACTCAAGGGAACCACGAGCACACAGAGCAATCAAATACATAGAGCGCACGTACCATCTGATACGAGATGTCGTCGGTATAGGAGACGTCGATGGTGCCAAGATTGCATCAGAGGACAACCTAGCTGATCATTTCACGAAGAGTTTGCCGGGGAAGGTCTTTGTCAAACACGTGGAAAGAATGAGAGTCAGATGTATGGCGATAGGATCGACATAGGTCTTTTAGAATAACGGACTGATAGGACTATACTTGTAAAAACGAAAGCTTTAAGTATAAGTGGAAGATTGTTGGTGTTATATACTGAAACCTTGGCTTTGGATGATATTACACTTTTGCCCTTTATAAATGAGAATCATGTTCGATTAAACAAGTTCTATGTTCTGTTGTTTTGCACTTAGATCAAATGGTTCATTAGCGGGTGAACAGAAGATCATTTTCTAGTTACTTGTGAAACAAGAATTGTTGGTTCACAACTTAGATGGAAATGAACACCCCATCAGAGTGATCGTAGTGTCAACGTTACAGTAGGTCTTGACTGATTAGTTGGACTAGTACATTTATGTATTGAATATGATCTCGGAGAAGAGAAGTTCGTTTTAAACTGATCGTCGTAAACGAACTAAGTCTCGGTGAATTACTGTGTTCTCTTAACCTGTAAGATATTAAATAGACATATACATGCAGTACTTATTACTTTGATTCACTTGGGTGAGATTCAGTTCGCTGGATCACCAGTCTTACTATCTTGGGTAATATTGCTGTATGTATGATGTGCTGTTAGGATATTTACGATCACCATATGCGTTAGTTTGATGATGTCCCCGAAGTGAATTCATGAAGGATTGTTATGCTAAACCCTGCATGTGGATTAAATTCTGGCATAATAATAATGTGATGAACGAGCGCTAGCTTTGGTAATATAATATATTAAATAATTATTGATTGTCAGTAATCGAATTAATTAATGGATATTATATCTTAAACATTTGGAGGTAATTCGGGTAACTATTATTGCAGTCTCAAATGTAATTTGGGATAGGAAAAGGGAGTGCAATAATATTATGTTAGTGGACCGTAATATTATTTAAGTAATTGAGGAGTGGGTCTGGTTCGCAGTTAGTCCATTCTTTAAGAAGTCCTAATCCTATTTTCCTAAGGATTCCTACTATAGCTCTATATATACATCATTAAGTTAATTAGAAGAGAAAAGATATGGATTAACGTGTAAACACACGCGTGCTACCCCCTCTCTCCTTAGATCTCATTCGAGTTTTATCTTCTTCTCGTTGCTCCACCGGTACAAGTTGAAGAGATGTTTGAGTAATACAGTAGAAGATCCCGAGGTAACCAAGACATATATTTATCAACACTGGAGATCCACAGCCGACAACCGCCGACAACCGTGAGCCCGACGACCACCGCCGCGAGCAACACAACCGCCGATGGATGACCGCTGAACGGCCCCACGCGACATACGGCCACCCTCCGGCGACCCAACCACAGCCACACGACCGTCGATCCCTGCCTCCATGCGATCCCGGCTTCCTCATGACGTGCTGCTCCCGGTCATCCCGAATCCGTCAGATTCAAAAAATTTTAAGCCGTAAATTTTCTACGTCAAACCTTTAGATCCACTGCGCATAGGTTTTACATTTGCTATTGAATTCGTGACTTGTACATAACGAGATCCTCACAGATCCCAACATGTCACGCCATAGGGTTGGCTTCATCGAAAACATAGACCCTATTGTTGATGGGCTTGGTACTTGAAAGGTGTGAGTTGACGCACTCTCTGGAACTTCTGAGCTGGTTAGTGGATGACCCCTTTTGGCTGGCTCCGTAACTCAAATTGTTGGATGTGTGAAGAACTGTGGACACTGGAATGGGCGGCTGAAACTTGAGGAGAGAGAGTACAATGAACAAGGTTATCCCTTACCCGATGGGAAGTTCATAAAATTCAATTCATGTTCAACTTTACGAGCCAATCGAATGGCAACACATGCATGCATGGAAGGTTCATCACGTATACGGATTTGGATATCTTCACAAAAAACACCTAAGAACTTGCCCAAATAATGAGGGTAAGAAAGATTAATTACCTGAGCAACACAGGCTTCAAATTTAGCAATATAGTCATTGTTAGATTCAATTTACCACGTGACCTTAAGAGACGCATATGCATTCACAGTCGTCAGAGTGCTGAAGCGAAGCAATAGTTCTTCAATGAAATGGGGACAATCGATAGACGGAAAACGGTGCATTAACCCTCGAACCCAATATAATGCTGCCCCAAACACGGGGACAAGCGCAATTGGAACCTTTTTCACCATATGAGTGTGGTGAACCAAAAAAAAATTCTCAACTCTGGCTATCCAAGCAGTTGGGTCAGATCCACCAAATGAGGGGAGGTCGATTTTTGGTGACCCATACAACTTAGTGGCGTAGGTCGTGATGTGAGATGTACCCTCCTCATGGTCTGACTTAACTAATCATATTAACTAAATAATAAGGGTAACTGAGCCTACACCCTAGGGTCCAGTAAGAGCAACCCACGACTTCTAAAATAAACTTTTAGAAATCTGTCTTTATTACTCTGCCCTTGGTAGAACCCTTAAGAACTTCAACTTTCCAACCCGAAGAGGGACCAGGCAATGTGTCTGGCTCCCTCGAACCAAACTCACCTAAGCCCTCTTCAGTGGTGGTGGAAGCGTACTCTAATTTAGATAGCGAACTTATTCTCTCTAATTATATAGAATGATTTAACTTTTACCCCTCGTCGCTAAACCAAACCCATATTCACCCTCTCCATACCCTCTGCTCTCGCGACTACCAAAATAAACTCTTTGGGGAAAAACAATCAATTAGGCGGAGCACTCAACAGAGGAAGAAACCCAATCATAAAAAATTCACCGAGATTCACGGTGTTTTGGTTTATTCCATACTGGACGGAGAAAGAAACCAATCCATAAAAATTCACCGAGATTCACGGTGTTTTAGTTTATTCCAAACTGGATTAGTCGTTTCACCGATGTACTAGGCCTTTTAGGGACTTAGGGCCCCTATTTTATCTTATTGGTCCTTGGACTTGTAGGGGATTTGACCATCCCAACTCCATTGGATTTGTAGGGGAATGAGCCTCCTTTTTTTATTTTCTAATAAGCATGTTGGTTTACTTTTGTTTTTTAATAGAAAAGACATAGAGTAAAAAACAAGTCTCACTTGAGATGATCTCACCATGAGATGGTTGCAAAAGATATCCATCTCATTATGAGACGGATGGAAAAAAGTATCACTTGTTTCATATTACAATTGGGTGGTAATCATCGACACGATATGAAATATGAACAAAACATGGTTAGAAAATATAAGAGACATAATACAATGAAATTGACAAGTCATGAATATAGGAAATAATAAAAAACTAATTGAGGTTAACTTTATTATNACTTTATTATAAATTTTATAATTAACAAAATAAATAATATGAGAACTGAAACACGATAAATAATACGACCGTGAAACACAAACAAGACACTTAATACGACAGTTAAACACAAACAAGACCAATTGCACAATTTGCTACAAGAGATATCTGTCATGATACACTCTTATTTATATATTTCTCTCTCATCAATCACTCTATTTGCCGCAGCATTCAGAACCCACTACTTTCCATACTTTTAACTCTCTTATCTCTTCTCGAGCCCATACACTCTTCTTGTTTTTATAAATGGAATACAAATGTACACCAAAAACACCACACACAATTATCCCACATATACTTAAATCTCCACATACTTCAAACTTTCTTTCTCATATATACTTCTCCACAGCCTTTATACTGATTCAAGTCCCAAATAAAAGAGACATAAAAGAGGAAAGAGCTAAAAAACACTTCTTATGTGCCTTTTTTGCACCTACTCTCCTATATCTTATAACTTCCCCTTGCAGTTGCAGAACTAATGGAGGTTGATCATCATTCAAGGCATGGTTCCCCTAACAAAGCCGGGGGTACAACCAAATCATTCTCCTGCCTCTATTGCTCTAGAAAGTTCCACAGCTCGCAAGCTTTGGGCGGGCATCAAAACGCCCACCGGAAAGAACGAACGGCAGCCGGGAAAGGCCAAAGGGCAGTTTCGTCATCTTCGTCTTCTTCCTGCGACTACACGCTAATGGCCCCACAGCCTTTCATCTTCTCCCCAAACTACCCTTTCGGCATTTTTGGCCACTCGGCTTATATAAGCGCCGGCCATGGTGGCGCTTTCTGCCCCTATGATCAGAGCCCTCAGATGATAAACGGGTTGGGGCCGAATGTGGGGCCCACGTTCGAGAACGTTGTGGTCTACGATGGTGGGAGGTACTTTGGTAATAATGAGGTGTATGAGAAGGACAATGGGGATGAAGAGCATGGGCATGGGGATTGCAAGAGCCAAAGCCTTGATTTGTCTCTTCATCTGTAGACAAGTTTTTGAATTTTGAGAGACTCCTTTTTTTTTTTTTTNTTATTAATCGTGTTACAATGTTTGGGTTTTGTTTTTTGGTTATTTGCATTTAGAAAACGAGTTGAGAGTTTGGGTAGTCTTTGCCGGTTGGCATGGATGGATAAACAAGAGCTTTGATATTTTGCTTAAGAAAATAATGGTATAGTGCAGCATTTCAATGAATTTATTTGTTTATTATTCGGGTTGTTGTTTAGTTTAGGTATTATGGTTTATGATTGTGCTTTATGATATTGATTTGATTTATATAAGTAGGATCATATGGAAAAAATTCATAGTAAAAAAAATAAGAATGGATCACAACGGTTGAATGTGATATATCAATACTCTAGGAACAGTCAAAAGGTCCAAATTTGATCAAAGGGGATGTGACATTACTGAACTTTTGATTTTTCACAAGGAGGTATGTTAGTCTTTGCGCAAAATGCATCGTTGCATTCTCGTAGGCATTAATGTGCATTGTGTATTCTGCAATGTGAGTGTTTTTATGTACAAATTCAAATATGATATTGTGCATTGCATTGAACATTATTGTACAACTATCAGATTTTATTTATTTACAAATTTAACCCATGAAATAAGTTGAATATAGTTGAAATTTCTTAATTTGTAGATACGTCCCTTGGACGTACCTAATTTTCAAAAAACAGGCCCATCCATAAATTTAGAAATCGATTGCTGCTTGTTTCCCCTATCCATGATCTCTAAAATTATTGGCTGTTTGTTTCTTTTTTTTTGCCTCGACACACGGCGTTATCCAGACAGATGCGGATGTCAGCATCGGGACGGGTCGAGATGGCTACGAGGAGGGTGGATATGGTTGTTTCGCTGGACATAATCGAGCGGGGAGAGAACGAGGACCAGTAACTACTTGAAGTGTGCCCAATGGCTGCGCGCTGCCGTCCTGGGCGCCGTGAAACACACGATGAAGTTGATGACATTGACAAGGCGGCCTGGTCGTCAGCTCGTGCTCCATGGCCATCGGCAAATTCGTCTACTCGCAGCTTGACATCAGTGGGTGATCGACAACGACGGAGAGGCTGCTGAAGGCGATGGAGGTTGCGGCGGTGCAGGCGCTCTTGGTGAGTACAGGGTGAGGATGGGGGGCGATGGTGGCGAGCGGCACGATGGTGGTGGGCGGCGCTGGATGAGGTGCCGATGGGAGGTCGACGGTGAGGGGCTAGTCGGTGTGTGTGTGTGTGTGTGTGTGTGTGTGTTTTAGAGAGAGAGAGNTTTTTACTATTGGATGGTCAAGTTTTATGACTAAGATGTATTCTTATTTCTTTCACTGAGAATCATTTTTGTTTAAACACATCCCTAAATATATGTATATATGTATGTATGTATGTATATATATATATATATATATATATATATATATATATATATATTTAATGAGCATGTGTGTGGAAGTAGGTACAAATGAGAATGGGTGATAGTGAAAGAACTAAGAATGGAACGTAGCGGCTAGTTGGGACATATCATTGCTCTAGGGTTGGTCAAAGGCTCAAGCACGGGTAAAAGGTGTTGTGACATTTCTGTAGTTATGGGTACTTTTGATTTTTAATGCGAGGAATTTTCGTAATTGTGCATAATACATTGTTACACTATTATGCATATTCGTCTAGTATTATTGTGCATTTTGTAACGCATTGACATATTGGTAAATTTAGAAACCTTTAATGTGCATATACACATATAATATTGTGCATTTTACTTAACATTAATGTGCATTTATTATGTTTTTATAAGTTACAAGTTTGACTCATGAACTAAATTGCAATATTGGTAAAATTCTTGAAATTGCAGATAAGTCCCTATGAATTATCAAATTTTCAAACAGCCTCAGCCCAACCCGCACACACAGCCTCAGCCTCAACCTCAGCCTATGAATTATTCTGCATCGTGACCACTGCTATCGTCCTCTCCTTCGCCCTCTCCGTCCTCATCCCTATCTTCTTGCTACACTGAATTTTTCGTTGAAGTCCCAATCGTCGGCGAATTTTTCTTCTTCTAGACATGGCCAATTATCGATTTCAGGCAAGTCTCGATTTGGGATCGCCAGTTCAGATTCGCATTTATACGAATCGGAACCGGCCTCGGTTCTGGGTCGGTTCAGTGTTGAACATGTTTCCGACATATTTAAAAAAAAATGACGGGAGAGAGAGGAGGGATGATGTGTGTGAGGTATATGTGCGTGATACGTGTGGAGGTGTGTGTTCTGTGTGTGTTAGAGGGGGAGGGTGCATGGGGTGGGACCCACCAGTGAGTAGGTGGGTGGGGTTTGGGAGTAATAATCAAAATATTCGTAGAAATTTGAATTTTGTTTGTTTTTTCTTTTTGCCGTCGGAGTGCAAATGTTAAAAAAATTATTGGATTATAAGAAAATTTTTCTTACTTGCACTCATCCCTATATATATTAAAATAATCATTAGAATTTGGGTGTTGCTAAATACCGCACCCCAAATAGACAGTTTTGTCCTTTTCAATTTCTTTTTTTTTAAGGTCGGTCGGCCGCGATTCCCTGTTGGTCGCACCAAACACGGCCTTCTTTCCCGGTTGGCCGCACCATGCACGGCCTTCTTTCTTGGTTGGCAGCACGGATTATTTTTATTCAAATTTTTATTTATTATATACATTATATTAGAATTTAGATATTATGTTATAAATTAAAATTTATTATCTTACAGTTAAAATTTAGAAATTGTTAAATTATAAATTATAATTAATTATCTTATAGAATTTTATTATTATTATGTTAGAACTTATAAATTATTATGTTATATAGCATAATATTAATTATCTCTAACAAAATACTAATGAGTGATGTTATTAAAAATTGCAGTCCCCTTTTTTTCTTAAATCCGCTCCTTTTCAACTCGGTAATAAATTTTAAATACAAAATAATATTATGACTTAAATTTGAAATTTATAAATACAAAATAATATTATGACTTAAATTTGAAATTTATAAATACCAATTTAAATAACAAATTGAACAAAAAAAAGTCGGATTCTGTTCGAGCAATTCATTGAGACCGATTAATTCAGTATGATTAGACCGAATTTTATGACAAGATTGTTTGACACTTTTTTCAGAGTTATATGATTCGTGTGAATATTATAGTAGGAAAAACATTCAAGCTCATTTTTAATTGAAGTATTAATGAATATGCCTTGTTGTTGACTTTCATTCTCTAATGGACTTGTATTTAATCGAATCAATTTTACCACACTTGGGATCATGATGTTAGTGTCATATCTAAATTTAATTTCAACGTTTCTTCTGATAGTAGTAGTAATAAATTCTAATCAATTCGAAACCACATATAATTGCAACTTTTTTTGCCCGTTCGATAGCTTCTTCTGAAATAGTAGTAATAAATTCTAATTTATAAGATAATAATTATAGTGTATAACACCATAATACTTTCTAACTTCTAACATAGTAGTACTAAATATTACTTCATACGACAATCAATTCTAATTCTATATCATAATAATTTCTAACTTATAACATAATAATAATAAATTCTAATTTATAAGATAATCAATTCTAGTATATAAGACAATAATTTCTAACTTCTAACAAAATCGTAATAAATTCAAATTTATAAAACAATCAATTCTAATTCTATACCATAATAATTTCTAACTTCTAATATAATAGTAATAAATTATAATTTATAAGATAATCAATTCAAATATATAACATATTAATTTATACTAATATAATTTTTTTCAAACTAGTATCATTTCTAATTTATAATAATATAATTTATGCTAATTTTAAAACTAGTATCAATAAATTATACTTCATAAGATAATCAATACTAATCTATACCACAATAATTTCTAACATATTATTAAAAGAAAATTCACTTATCATCCCACTTTCATTTTTTTTTTTCTTTTTTTTAGTGAGGTAAAAATTATTTAAATATTATATATATATATATAAGTTACTATTAGTTAGTTTAAGTATTTGAATGTTTTAATTTCTTAATATTTAATTAACAAAATTTTCTTAATATTTAATTAACAAAATGTTTTATATATATGAAATTATTTAAATATATTTTTAATATTTCAATATTTTTTAATTAACAAAAATTAAAAACCAA